TTTTTACTAGAGATAGGGTTTCGCTTTCTTGGCCAGGCTGGTCTCGACCTCCCGACCTCAGGTGATCTGCCCACCTTGGCCTCCCAAAGTGCTAGGATTACAGGCATGAGCCAACACACCCAGCCCTCATATGCCACTTTTAACAATGAGTAGAAAACTAGCCTGAAGATCATTAAGAAAATAAACGAAACACCATCAACCGATTGGACCTAGCAGACATACACAGGACACTGCATCCAACAGCAGAAGAACACACATTTTTCTCAAGTGCACATGGAACATTCTCAAGGATGGACAATATATTAGCCCAGAAGAGAAGGATTAATCAACTTTAAAGACAGAAAGTATACAAAGCATCATATCTAGTCACATTAATTTAATTAAGAGGAGAACTTTTAAAAAATCACAAATTTTTCCATTGTTTGAAAAATTACATTAGATGTGGTAACTCACACCTGTAATCCCAGCACTTTGGGACGTCCAGGTGGGTGGATCACCTGAGGTCGAGAGTCCGGGACCAGTCTGGCCAACCTGGTGAAACCCTGCTTGTTTAATAAAAATATAAAAATTAGCTGGGCATGCTGGCGGGCACCTGTAATCACAGCTACTTGGGAGGCTAAAGCATGAAAGTCACTTGAACCTGGAAGTCAGAGGGAGGCTGCAGTGAGCAGAGATTGCACCACTGCCATCCAGCCTGGGTGACAGAGCGAGACCCTGTCTCAATAGAAAAAAAGAAAAGAAAAACGAAACCCCATACTCTTAACTAGCCAATGTATCAAAAAAGAAATCACAAGAAAAGTCAGAAATTATCTTGAGATAAAAGAAATAAAAAACATAACATACCAAAAACTTACAGATTCGAGCAAACGCAGTGCTAAGAAGGTAATTACACACATACCGTTTTAGCCCATTCAGGCTGCTGTAACTAAATGTCATAAACTGGGTGAGTTATAAATAGACATTATTAGAGTTCTGGAGGCTGGGAATTTCACATCAACTCACCAAAAAAATTTGGTGTCTGGTGAGGGTTCATCGATAGATGTCTTGTTGTTAGCTCGGCTGGGAGCAGTGGCTCATGCCTGTATTCCCAGCACCTTGGGAGGCTGAGGTGGGTGGATCACCTGACATCAGGAGTTGGAGACCAGCCTGACCAATATGGTGAAACCCTGTCTCTACTAAAAATAGAACAATTAGCTGGGCATGGTGGCAGGCACCTGTAGTCCCAACTACTCGGGAGGCTGAGACGGGAGAACCGCTTGAACTCAGAAGGCAGAGGTTGCAGTGAGCAAAGATCGTGCCACTGCACTCCAGCCTGGGCAAGAGGGAGCATTCATGTCAAAATTAAAATAAATAGAAATTTAGCTGTCTTGTTGGGGTCTCATATGGAGAATGAAACAAGGAAACTACTGAAGTCTCTATTTAAAGGGCACTAACATCACTAATCAAGGAAATGCAAATGAAAACCGCAGTGAGATACAACCTTACTCCTGCAAGAACTGCCACCATTAAAAAGCCGAAAACCAACTCAGCTTGAATGTGAAGAGGGAACACTTTTACACGACTGGTGGGAATGTAAATTAGCACAACCAGCATGGAAAACAGCATGGAGAGTCCTTAAAGAAGTAAAAGCAGAACTCCCATTTCATCCAGCAATCCCACTACTGGGTATCTACCCAAAGGAAAAGAAGTAGTCACATGAAAAAAGACACAAAGACACGTGCAAATGCATGTTTACAGCACAATCTGCAACTGCAAAGATATGGAACCAACCTAAGTGCCCATTGACTGCTGAGTGCATACAGGAACTGTGGTGCACACACACCATGGGCTACTCCTCAGACATCAAAAGGGATGAAATCATGACTTTTGCGGCAACTTGGAGGGAGCTGGAGGCCATTCTTCTAAGTGAAGTAACTCAGAAATGGAAAACCAAAAGATCGTATGTTCTGTCACTTTACTTGATGCCACTAAATTGTGTGTTATCTTTTACATAAATAAGGAGAGAAAACAAGTCTCAATGGAGGCATACCAATGTTTCATGGGCACACAGATATGGTATACTCAGAGAAACAACACAAAGCAATATATTGATGTTTTTAATCAGCTAGCTAGCTTGTAATTTATGTTAGAACATCCATTTAATTTGTTCTCTTTTAGCTGCTGCAACGCTTTCTTAAAAGCATTAGATTTGCTCTTCTATCATATGCTGGGACATGAACCCAGGTAAAGATAGAAGGCTGAGGCCTCATTCAGCATGGGCCTCTATTACTTTTCTGGGTGTTAAGATCATAAAAACACCATCAGAATTATAAGTTAAAGTGCACTGACTGAATTTTTTAAATAATGAGACACAAAAAAGTTACATTTCCGCTGAAACAAATGTTTTATAATTGCTGTAATCTTTCTGAGAGACACAGTCATGCTATGTTGCCCAGGCTGAAGTGAGAGAGTGGCGACTCACCGGCACCATGTTTCACACTACAGCCTTGAATTCCTGGGCTCAAGGAATCTTCCTGCCTCAACTTCTGGAGTATTTGGGACTACAGTTGTGCACCACTGCACCTGGCTTTTGGGATTTTCCCACAGTTGAAAAACAGCCAAACCCTAGACAAATTTCTTAGTAAGTCAAGTATTACTGTTTTTTTTTTTTTCTTACCAACTCTATCACTGATACCTTTTACTTTTATATCCCTATGTCCTATTTGTCTGTAGTATTCTATGTGTCTCAATCTAGTTAGTGATCTTATATCACTCTTATATGTCCTTCCAAAATTTGGGGGGGGGGATTTTTTAACCATTTTATAACTCTTATATAGTTTAAGTCACATTTGTTTACTGAATTATTTATTTATTTTTTTTGAGATGGGGTCTCACTCTGTACAGGCTGGAGTGCAATGGCACAATCTCGGCTCATTGCAACCTCCGCCTCCCGGGTTAAAGCTATCCTCCAGCCTCAGCTCTTGAATAGCTGGGATTACAGGTGTGTGCCACCACGCCCGGCTCATATTTCAATTTTTAGTAGAAATGGGGTTTCACCATGTTGACCCGGCTGGTCTCAAACTCCTAACTTCAGGTGATTTGCCTACCTCGGCCTCCCAAAGTGCTGGGATTATAGGTGTGAGTCACTGTGCCCAGCCTACTGAATTTTTGATACTGGAACTTATTTGTGCATGAGAGCCCTCTTTTGATAAATGTCTTTGTTATTTCTATCACTTCACTAACATTTACCCCAGTTGAGATAGATGATCAACTGATGAACCACCGGACTAGTAGTACTGTGTGCACAATATTGTTAATCGAAGTAAATGTAGGTACTCTTTTACCAAATTAAGGTGGAAAGCTACAGAAAAAGAAAAAAGAAAACAAAACTTACCCTGACCCTTTCCATCCATTAGTGACATAAACACAGAAAGGTAACCAAATGGACCAAATGAAGGAGCCAGACAATCAGACCAAAATGATATAAACACATTTTTCAGAAACACACCAAAGGCACCCAGGTTGAGAAACCTGGGTATTCACGTGCAGAGGACTGAAGTGAGACCCTTACGTTGCACAAGAACACAAACATCAACACAAAACCAACTCAGCACCTAAGTTTAATCCTGAAACTTAACAAGCTCTCAGGAAAATACATAGGGTGAGTGTCTATTTTGGGAAAACTTGAATCTGTGTACACCAGCTGCAGACAGGAAAAATTAGGAAGAATATACCCATAAATAATACAACATTTTCGCCATCTCGCTCGCTTTATTTCCCAATGGGAAACAAAAATCCCTGCTAACAAAAGCAAATATAAACAGGTTAGACAAAGGAACTTTAAAATTTATAAACAAGGAGAAAACGGTGAACCCAAAAAAAAGGCACCCTACAGATTTGGATAAAATTATAGAAAATCATGTATCTGAAAAGAACTGTTTTCTAACATATGCAAGACACTAAAGGCACTGAGTGAGCATAATGATAAAATAACGAAAACCTCTATTTACCCAAACAACCTGCCACTGGCATAAAAACAGAAAGGCTACCCAACGGACAGAATGAGGGAGTCCCACATGCCACCCAAATGAATGTACACTGAACACATTTTTCAACACAACACAAATAGACACAATGGGAAAAGAATAAATGATTTTGAGCAAACTGGATAACCACAAGAAAAACACTGAAATAGGACAAAAATCGATGTAAATTACATGAAAGACCTAAACTCAATCTTGAAACCATTTCCTTCCCTCAGGAAACAACAGGTAAGCACATAGTTTAGAAAACTAATCTATGCACACAAGTTGCAAAATGTGAAATATAAAAAGAAAAAGAAAATTAGAAGGAAAAAAACATAGCCAATGCCATGGATTGGCAATCTTTTTCACTGTTTTTAACTGCACACGGAAGTCACCACTAATATGTAAACAGGTGGAACTACGGAAAACATCAGATCTTATGCTGTGAAAAGAAAACAGTGAACAGAAGAGAAGGTGCCTCACAGACTGAAAGAAAACTATGGAAAATTCTGTCTTTGAAAGGGGTCGTTATAAAATCTGTGAAAGACACTAACACTACCATGTGGGGGAAACAAAAACAAACACCCAAGCTAAGTCTGGGCAAAGGACCTGAACAGACGTGTCTGCGAAGCAGATGGGAAACTGACTCACAGGTAAAAGAAAAGTCTCTCAAAAGCGCTAATCCTCACAAGAATGTCAAGGAAACCTGCACTGAGATGCCGCTTCCATCCACATCGAATGAATGCTACCTAAAACAGAAAGAAAACTTTAAAAGGAAACAACTAGTACAGACTTTCAGAAGGGGAAACTCTTCTCATACACTATTGGTGGGAATGTCAGTGTCTACACACACTACGAAAAACAGCTGGAAGTGCCTCCAACGAAGTAAAAATGCCCATTTCATCCAGCCATCATTCCATTCCTACGTGGAAGAGATACCTGCCTTACCCTCCGTACTGCAGGACTCACGATAGCCAAGATAGGAAATACACCTACCTGTTCTTCCATTGTGAAGGGATGAAGAAACTGCAATATACATCCAGAGCAGAATATTCTTTAATCGTAGAAATGGGTGAAATCTCGTCACTTGCGGCCACGTGGAAAAACCTGAGGAACATTATGTTAAATGAAATAAGCCAGGCAGAGAAAGGCATATACTGCATGATCTCATGCACGTGGAATCTGAAACAACTTGACCTCACAGAAGCACGAAGTTCAATAGTGGTTACCAGAGGCTGTGGGGAAGGGGCGCCTAGGCAGGGATTGGTGCTGGGTACAAAGTTACACTTAGAAAACAGATCAGTCCTGCCCTTCTCTTCTATAGCAGGGTGACCAGGGTTAATATTGTAGTGAATTTTCCAAAGAGCTGGGAAGGATTATGAGTATCATCTCCACAGACAAATAATACCTAGAGGACTTCACAGATGCTAAATATTGTGATTCGATCAATATGCTAGGTGTACGCATATCAAAATGGCCCCTGTATCTTATAGTTATATACATATGCTCTAGCGGAATCGCTTTATAAAAAAAAAAAAATACCAATGACGCTAAAATTTACATGGAACCATGAAACACCCTGAATTTCAAAGCAACACTGAAAACACAAAGTACATGGAATGCATCACTGTCCTCCATTTGAAATTATATTGAGAAGCCAGTTATCTAAACAATAGATGACTGGCACTAACCGAGAAACCCAACAGACAGAATGAGGGAGCTCGATCACAAACCCAAATTCCTAGGTGGTGTACACGTTTTGTAAAAGAACACCGACAGACACAATGAAGAGGGGGGAATCTGTTTAGTCAATGGATTTGAAAACTGGATATCCCTACGTAAGTAGAATAGGACCCCAACTGTGTAAAAAGACCAAGGATTAACTCAAAATGAATTAGAGACTGATCAACAAAAGTCGAAAGCATCAAACTCTTCCAATGAGAAGACACATGATGTGGGTATGTTTAGGTCAATGTGGATCTGTGCTCACAGTGTGCCAAAACAAAATAAAAAATACAGGGGGAAAATCTCATAGGCGATGGGATAGTTTGGTCATGATTCTGTTTTTCCTCATCAGTCACCTACATCAAAGGACAACAAGAACACAGACACACGTGGGACTACATCATACGTTAGAGTTTGTGCCCAAGCAGATTTCTAAAAAATCCGCCGGGCGTGGTGGCTCAAGCCTCTAATCCCAGCACTTTGGGAGGCCGAGGCGGGTGGATCACGAGGTCAAGAGATCGAGACCATCCTGGTCAACATGGTGAAACCGCGTCTCTACTAAAAATACAAAAAATTAGCTGGGCATGGTGGCGCGTGCCTGTAATCCCAGCTACTCGGGAGGCTGAGGCAGGAGAATTGCCTGAACCCAGGAGGCGGAGGTTGCAGTGAGCCAAGATCGCGCCATAGCACTCCAGCCTGGGTAACGAGAGCGAAACTCCGTCTCAAAAACAAAAAATTATCCTGAAGTTTACAAGAAAGGTTTCGGCAAACCTACATATGATGAAAGGTTGTCTTCAAAATGTCTAAGCAACAAACGCTACTTACTAGCAAAAACACAAAAGAGAAACTAATAACTAAGCAAACTGGGACCAAATAACCTAAACAGACATTTCTGCAAAGAAGACGTAACGTTGAAAACGAGTTTTAAAAACTTAGAAAATATCGCAAATCACGAGAAAGATGTAAATCAAAGCAACACACATGATCTCACTATAATTCATACCGGTGTTATCAAGGCAATCAAATACATTAAAAGAGACGCAAATGCTGCTGTCAATTTCCACAGAGGAACTCATTTCTTCAGAATGTTAATCAGCATTCATACTACAGACACCAGTGGGAGCTTCCTCCAAAAGTTTAACCTACAACTACCACTTCATCTAACAAGTCTTCTACTAAGTATACTTTCAGGATGAAAGAAATCAGTCCATGCAAGAGGCATCTGTCATCCTATGTGGACTGCAGCACTATTCACAATTGCCAAGACAAAGAATAGACTTACCTGCCCATCCACACATGAAGGGATACCTGGTGTATGTGCACAAATAGAATCGTCTTCAGCTAGAAAACTGGAATGAAATGTCATCATTTGGAGCCACGCTGTTGAACTTGGAGGACATCATGTATGACCTAAGACAGGCAGAAAAAGAACAACTAATGTAGAATCCAAAATAAAAGGCTTTATTGCATAGGTCTACAAAGCACAATAGTAGTTACTAAAGGTTGGAGGGAAGAAGGGGCACGGGCAGAGGTCAGAAATAGGCACAAAGTTACCCTTAGATGAGAGGAATCAATCGCTCCTCACTGGTCCACAGCCAAGTGACCAGAGGTTAACACAACATCACACCCTTTTCACAAAATGTGGGAGATTCCAAATGTTTCTACCACAAACAAATTCACAACTGTTTCTGATAAGAGAGGCTCTAAATATCCTGATTTGATCATTCCTCTGTGTCTGCATTAATCAAAATGCCCCACTGTAACTCCCCACATTGTATACCTTCACCACATGACCAACCTTTTAAAAACTATGTCAATATGCAATGCTAAAATTCATGTGGTCCATAAAACACACTGAATTTCCAAAGCAATCCTGAGAAATCCAAACTACCTCGGTTGTGTCACACTTCCTGATGTTAAATTTCATTGAAAAGCTAGGGACCCCATTCCACACAGAGCAGTGGAACAGATTAGAGGGCCCAGACTGAAACCCTCACCCCTAACACCATCTGATCTTCAACAAAATCCACAAAAATAAGCTTTGGAGAAAGGACTCCCTCCTTTCAATAGATGGCGCTGGCATAAATGACTAGCCAGCTGCAGAAGAAAAACAGTGGGCCCCGCGTCTCACGGTGTACAGACACAAACTCAAGATGAATGAAAGATGTAAATGCAAGACCTCAAACTATGAAAAGCCTGCAAGAGAACCTAGAAACGCCCTTCCTGACAGAGGATTTGGCACAGCGTGGATGTGTCTCAGTCTCCAAAGGCAAGTGTAACTAAAACAATTATTGCCCAGTGGCACCAAATACACAAAGAGCTGCTGCACAGAAGAAATGACCAACAGAGTGAACAGACGGCCTGCACAATGGGAGAAAATGTTCCCACGCGTGCATCTGATGAAGGCTAATATCCCGGATCCACCTTAAAGATGTTAAGCAAATAAACCAGGAAAACAAAAACTCAATGAAGAAAGGGCAAGGGGCATGAAAACACGCGCCTCAAAAGAAGGCTTACAGCAACCAACAGACATGACAACACTTCTCTGCCTCAGTCAGCATCAGAAAGAGGCAAAGCAAAAGGCCCACGAGATAGTATTTCACACTGGCCAGAATGACGATTAGGACACAGTCCACAAGAACGAATGCAGGCGAGGCAGAGGACAGGGACGCTGCTCTGCTGCTGGTGCAAATGCAAACCAGTTCAGACACCATGGAAAGCAACGTGGGGATTTCTCAAATGACTTTCTCCACATCACTAATACTCACAAAAACGTCCATGGAAACCATGCTAAGATTCCGTCTCCTTCCACTCGCTATGAATACTACCAAAAACAAAACACAAATTTTGGAAGGCGTCAGCCAGTGTAGACTTACAGAAAGGTGACCTCTTCAACACTATTGGTGGAGACCTGAACTAGTATACACACACTGAGAAACAGCAAGAGGTTCCTGAAAAACTTCACGGTACAACTACCATGTCAGCTGGCAGCCCCACCACTGGTTCCACATTTAAAGCAGTTGAAATCCCTGGGCTGAAGAGAGCTATCTGCCTTCCATGGGTACTGAAGCACTTGTAACTGTGGCCAAAGTACAGAACCAACCTACCTGTCCACCCGCAGCTGCAGGCATGAAGAAACTGCTGTACAGATACACCATGGAGTATGTTCCAGCCATGAAGCTCTGGGAATCCTGCCATCTGCAGCCACATGAAGAAACCTGTAGAACATCAGGTCCAACGAATGAGCCTGGTAGAGAAAGTCCCATTCCACATGATCCTAGGCATGCAGACTGAAAACATCTTCAACTCCTAGGAGCAGAAAGTTCAATAGGGGTTACTAGAGGTTGCTGGGAAAATGGAGAGGGTCTGGGAAGGAATCAGTAATGGGTAAAAACTTTCCTCAGATGACAGCAATCAATTCTGGTCTTCTATTCCACAGCAGGGTGACTGGCCTTAACACAAATGTATATGTCTCAAAGTAGCTAGAAGAAAATATTCTGAATGTTGCTACCACACAAAAATATCATAACTATACCAGGTGAAGAGACGCTAAATAACCCAATTTGATCATTACTCAGAATACACATGTAACAAAATCTTCCCTGTACCCTCTCATTATATACATTTATATATGGGAAATGGTGTCTTAAGATATATAAAGAAAACAATGCCAAAATTTATATGGAAATGTGAAACACCCTGAATTTCCACAGTTACCCTGAGAAACACAAACCATGTGGCATGTATCACATTCCCTGAGTTCTAATTAAATGAAAATCCCTAACCAACCCATATGCTACTGGTAAACACAGAGAAACACAGACCAGTGAGCAAAATGAGGGCGTTTAATAATAAACGGAAATTTATATAGAGTGAATACATTTTTCAAAACACTACCAAACTGACACAATGGGGAAGGTTTTCAAAACTAGGTATCCATATGCAAAAGAATAGTACAGGACTCTCATGGTATGAAATACACAATAATCAACTGAAAAGGATTAAAGATTATACACAAAACTTGCAACCATAAAGCTCCTATAAAGACAACCTCGGTGTGCAGATATTTATTGCAACTTGGATGTATGCTCACGATTTGCAAAAACAAAAATACAAGGAAAAGAAAATCGTGGACAATGGACTGCTTTGGTAGTAATTGAGTTTTTTCTTCATTAGTAACCAACAGCACAGCTAACCAAGAAATCATACACATGTGGGGCCACGTCACACTGAGGAGTTTGTGTCTAACAAACAATGAACAAAATGAAAAAGCATACTAAAAACCGTAAGAAACGTTTGGGCAAACATTCAGTTGGATAAGGGGTTATTTTTGAAAAGGTACAAGCCAGTAACACTACCGGCTGGCAAAAAAAAAAAAAAAAAAAAGGAGAAAAATAACCAAACCAAATAACCTGAAGAGATATTTGTGCAGACAAGAAACTGATGCAACATTTGCAAAAATGTGGTTACCGTTACTATGCACAAGAAAAATGAAGATCAAAACCACACTCAGATCTTATCTCACTCCAACTAGAATGAACATTACAAACAGATTAAAATATTTAAAAAGACAACTTCTAGTTTGAATTTCCACAAAGGGAACTGTTTGTGGAAACGTATATTAGTATTAATGCTATAAACAGTTGGGGGTCCTGCAAAGAATAGAAAGGAAAAATAGCATACCAGCTAGCATTCCCACTACTGGGTATACACTCAACCAACCTGTCCATCCACAGATAAAGGGATCTAGACACTCTCATATGCATACACTAGGGAATATTCTTCGGCCACCAAAACGATGAAACAGTGTCATGTGGAGCAACCCAGATGAACCTGGAAAACATTATGTTAAACATAATGAGCTGGGCCAAGAAAGGCAAACACTGAATCTTAAGATGTCTGTCTTAAAGAGGTAGAAAGCGCAGTATTGGCTACCAGGGTCTGTCTGGAAGATAGAGGGGGAGTAGGGATTGGTTATGGAAGCAAAGTTATCTTAACCTTAAAGGAATCAAACTGAGTGTTCTCCTCCTCAGCCTGGTGACCAGAGTTAACAATATTATATTTTTCAAAAGAACAAGAAAGGAGAATTTTATGTGTTCTCGCCACAGAAAAATAATACCTTATGAGGGAACAGAGATCCTAAGTACCCTGATTTGATCATTACCCAATCTATACGTGTGAAAATGTACCCCTAATTATGCACCTTTATGTTGTGAAAAAAAGTTAACAGAAATAAATACATATTGCTAAAAATCATAGGGAACCATAAAGGCAATTCATATCTAAAGGAATCCTGAGAAATTCAATCAAAGTGAGGACCCACAATCCTGGATATTAAATCACACTGCCAAGCCGCAGTCATGCAGCACATATATGGTACCTGGATAAAATCAATACCTAGAATTGTGGATAAAAATGGGGAGGCCAAAATAAGATCAACGCAAATATGGACACAGTCAACTCACTCTGATAAAGACCACCGCAGTGTGGCAGGCAGAGTCTGCTCAATGAATACCTTTGAGAAAAATGTTATCTGAATGCAGAAGAGAGAAACAGGACCCTGATTTTACATGATATATGAAAATCAACCCCCTCCAGCAAAAAACAAACAAACCAAAAAAACCCCCAAAGACCAGAACAAAAGACCATATAGCACAAAATGTTTTAACTAAAACACAGGTTGAGCATATATTCTGGGTCACGTGACTCTGCTCACCTTTGCAAAGAGAGAAAGAAACAAACACCCTGGAAGGAAAACCTCCTTGACAATTAAATGCTTTGTCACTGAGAAGTATTTTCTTATATGGGTGACCAGAATTACATGCACAAAGCGCAAAAATAAACATGGACTACATCAACCTGAAAAGTTTCTGCACGGCAAAGAAACTACCTTCCAAATTAAAAAAGCGTCCTATAGATTAGGCAAAAATTTCAGGTAATCATGTAATTCATGAGTTGTCATCTAAGGTGTACACAAAAAACACTACAAAGTAGCAAAAGAATCTAATATTTCGCAAAGGACCTGAACAGACAATTCTGCGACAGAAAATCGAACAACAGGTAAAAGGTCCTCAAAATTAACTATCCAACAGTTAATTAACTGTGTGTGGTTTAATTGAAACCCACACATAATCTCACACTTACTGAATATTCCTAGAAAGTTTTTTAAAAACAGGAGAGGCCAGGCTCGGTGGCTTACGCCAGTAATCCCAGAACTTTTGGGAGTCCCAGGCAGCAGATCACCTGAGGTCAAGAGTTTGAGACCAGCCTGATCAATATGGAGAAACCCCGTCTTTACTACTGATACAAAAATCAGCCTGGCGTGGCGGCGGGCCCCTGTAGTCCCAGCTACTCAGGAGGCTGAGACAGGAAAATTGCTTGAACCCGGGAGCGCAGGTTGCAGGGAGGCCAGATGGCACCACTGCACTCCCGCCGGGACAGAACGAGATTGTCTCCAAAGGAAAAAAAAAAAAAGGAACACGGGTATGGTTTTGGAGAGAAGGGAACTCATACACTGTAAATGAGAATCAGAATAGACACCTCGGAAAACAGCGAACTACCTGGAGACTCCTCAAAGAATTCACACTACAAATGTCACCTGTTCTATTGGGTTCTAGCGAGGTCTCTCTCTAAAGGTCCCGAAACATCATATAACCCTGGACCTCAGCTCAGAGGGCCGGGGGCTCGGAGGGTCCTAGGTCCCGCGCTTCACCGGCCTCTGGGCCAGGTGCTCCTATAGGCTGGACGCGGGTCGCACACCGTTCCCGGCCAGGGTGCGCACGCCGGGGCGGCCAGGACCCCACAACCACCGCCACGCAGACTACTGGGGCCCAGATGCCCACAAGGAGTCAGGGCCCAAAAGCGAGCGGTGGGGAAGGAGCAGGGAGGCCCGGAGGGTTCCGGGGGGGTCCATGCCCCGCCACTTACCGCGGAAGCGTCCCTCCTGCTCCTCCATCACATGGAAGCCACCACGGCTTCTCCGAAGCTCGCCGCTTCTGGACGCCGCCACTTCTGTTCGCTGGGACGCGGCCTCCGCTTTTGCCGGCTGGGACCGCGCGGTCGCTTCTGCTCGCTGGGACGTCGACTGCGCTTCTGCCCACTAGGACGACGCCCCAGACTCTGGCCGCCGCTTTCGCTCGCTCCGACCACATCGCCGCCGCTTCAGTTCGCTTCAACGACGCCGCGGCTTCTGCCCGGGCCCCGCGGAAAGCGCCGTCTCGGCTTCCGTAGAGGCGCGCACGCCGGCAGCGTCCCTAGTGACTGGCTGAAGCACCACCCCTTCTTAAAGGGGCCGCGGCTCGGACTGCACAGAAGCAGCTTCGCGTTGCGGCCCAGGCTGAGCCTCTGCCCAGCCCCAGCGGCGGACGAAAGGCCCCCCAGTCTCTCCTCCCGGCTCTAGGGCCCTAGAGATCACAGGAGTGGAGCCCTGTGACCCCAGCCCCGAGATCGGCTCCCTTTGCCTGGGGAGCTCCCAGGACCTGCCCCTGCCCTCCTCTGGACCTCAGCTTCACGATCCGCAAAGGAAGCGGCCCGGCCAGAGCTGGGGTCTGCTTTCTGGAACTTGGCTGGTGCAGTCCCTGTTACGACTGGAGATGGCACCTGTACCCCACCCCATGTTGAGAGCCTGCCGCCCTCAGTCTCAAGCCCAGGATGCGAAGCTGAAGGAAGCCTCCAGGCCCTGGGCTGGCCCCTGTGAGCTGGCCTGAAGCCTGATGAGCTCAGTGAAGCCCAGCACAGGCCCTGGCTCTTGGACCCACTTGGCTGACCCCGTGTTTGCTGCATCTAGGCTCTACCAGGACAGGGTGTGGAATATGAGTGCCCTTGCGATGCCATCAAAGCTGATCCCTCGGCCTCAGCTGCTGTGGCTGTGTGCAGGGCGCTGTGCTGTTCTCCAGCCCCACTAAGCTGCTTGTTGGTAAGAGCCCGCAGCTGCAGCAGCTGACCATCCAGCAGTGTCTGGCAGGCCCGTGTCATGCGTGCCTAAGTGCTTATATGGATGGCTTTCCAGTAGCTGGGTGTGCCTGTGGGCTGGGGAGAAGGGGGTGTGGTACCCGGACTTCGGGAGAGAGTTGCTGTTTACCTGTGGATGTGAGGGTGTGTGGTGAAGCACTACAGTGTCAAAAAGTTCTCAAGGTGCAGAGGGGGTAAGTACCCTGTGGGTCCTGAGGCAGGGGCGGGTCAGTTGTGTGCAACAGGAACCTCCCCCATGTGTCTGTCCATCCTGCATGTCTCCAGCCCCTTCTGAGCTTAGCTTGGAGTTGGCCTCAAGGCGGAACCCTCCTTCCTGCAGCCCCTCCCATCCTTGACTGCAGTCCGGGCCTGGGTGTCGAGCTGCACTTCAGGTTAGAGCCACCAGGGGGTGTGTGGCACCTGCCCTGCAAGAGGGCCCTGCCAGGGGTTGCGAATTGAGCAGGGTCCCAGGATGCCCTGCAGTCACGGGAGTGGCTTACAACCTAGTGTCCCAAGGTCCGGGTTTGAGATCTGGTTGTCTGGTCTCCTGGATGCTGCCTCTTGTCTCCCTGGTATGATCTGGTCCTGATGGGAATGCTGAGTGGGCAGGGGTCCCAGCCTGTCCCCTCCCTTCCCTATCCCTTAGGCTGGACTTAGAGCCCCGCTACCCACCCAGCCCAAGTAGGAAAGGCTTTGCTGGTCTGACATATCCTGGCCGGGCCTTGCTACCGGTTGTGGGTATGGTTGGGATGACACGATACAAAGAATAAAGGCCCCTAGGGGTAGTCTGTCTGCTTCCAAGCTCAGGACACACCTGCACGTCGCAGGTGGAGGCTCGCATCACACCCATACCTGTTCACATGTGCCCAAGTGCACAGAAAGCCTTTCTCATGGGCAGCCTGGCTTGACTGGGGGCTGAGCCTTTGCTGTTGAAAGCCCCATAGCCCCTCTTTCTTGCCTGCCATGTGTGGTGGCTCAAGCCTGTAATCCCAACACTTTGGGAGGCTGATACGGGAGGATCTCTTGAGCCCAGGAGGTCAAGGCTGCAGTGAGCCATGATTGTGCCACTGCACTCCAGCCTGGGTGACGGAGCGAGATCCTGTCTCAAGAAAAAAGCAAGGCAGTTTAGAGCTAATGACGGCTCTGAGGAAATAAAACAGGTCACTGCGATGGAGTCACGTGGGGCGGGTAGGGGAGGCCTCTCTGAGATGTGAAGGGTGTCAAGGGTCCTGCCCACAGAGCCCTGTGCTGGAACACTCGTGGCAGGGAACAGTGCAAAATCCCTGAGGCTCCTGGGCTTAGGTATGAGCTGGGGGGAGGGGCTTTATGCTATGGGCTGTGCCTGTGCCTGCCTCGTTCCCAACTGGATGGAGTGTGCTGGGGGTCCCCACGTCCCTAGGCCTTGTCTGTGCTGTGTGTGTGCCTGGCTGTCCCCAGCAGAGGCCTGTAGTGGGTGGGGTGGCCGTCCTGCCTGTGCATGTCACTGAGGGTGCATCTCCAAGTGCCTGCTGGCATGTGTTTTCTGTCACTTTTCTTTCACCAGAACCCCTAGACAGGCCTTGCCGGAATCCTGCGGTGACAGAACAAGGAGTCTCATTCCATTCCTCCTGAAAAAAAGAAAAAATAACTGCTGGGAATTTCTGAGCAAGTGGCAACAGGGAGGTGGTGGCGGGAGCTGCCTTTGCCTTAAAAGGTGTGACGGAGCCAGGGACTTAGCTCACTTGGGGATGGCCAAGGGGTGTGGAGCGGTGGGTGGCTGGCCACCACCTTGTGGGCTCGCCGCAAAGTGCTCTCTAGAGAGCCTGGATCTTCACTGATGGCCTTGCTGGTGAGGGCTGTGCTGCTCCACCTCTATCCCCTGCCCAGAGGGCTCAGTCCCATGCAGCTGGCAGCCCACCCTCCTCCAGGTGAGAACGCAGCTACTTGCTGGAGCTTCTGGCGGTCCCCCTGCCCTGTCTCCTGGCCAGTTCCCAGGATCCCAAAGTCCCCTTCCCTTTTCTTTTTTTTCTGAAGTAGAGTCTCACTCTGTTGCTCAGGCTGGAATGTGCAGTGGTGCAATCTTGGGGCTCGCTGCAACCTCTGCCTCCTGGGTTCAAGTGATTCTCCTGCCTCAGCTTCTCATGTAGCTGAGATTACAGGCTCCCACCACCACATCCAGCTAATTTCTGTATTTTTAGTAGAGACAGGGTTTTGCCATATTGGCCAGGCTGGTCTTGAACTCCTGACCTCAGGTGATCTACCCGTCTTGGCCTCCCAAAGTGCTGGGATTATAGGCGAGAACCACTGCGCCTGTCCTCCTTCCCTTTCAGGAGCAGTCTCAGGAGCCCAGGCCAGGTCACCGATAGGAGAGAGGCCTGGTGCAAACCTCACAGGAGGCAGGAAATTACTGTAGCCCTCCCTATCGTCGAGCCTACCCTCCGACACCCCCAGTGGATTCCTGGAACCGGATAGTACCGAACCTCTGTGGATTAGGCTTTTTCTCTCTGATCACCAAGAGCGCTATGAAGTGACTCACGGGTGGGAACGCCTACTGTGCGGAGACACTGGACAGAGGAACGAGTCTCGTTGCTGCGCGATTTCGTCACCCTACTCAGAATGGCATGCTATGTAACATTATGAATTATTTCTGAAGTTTTCTGTTTAATATTTTTGGGCTGTGGCTGGCTGCTGGAAACTGTGGTCAAGGAAAGTGAAATCACAGGGGATCGCTGCTGTAACTCCACAGGCCGGAGAGTGAGGGAGGAAGGGAGCATCCAGGAACCATCCAGAGTCCAACCTCCCCAGCCACTCATCCACAATCGGCAACACTCACACCACAAGGCTGTGCGCAGGACCGCAGTTAGCAATAACTGAGCATCTTGCTCTGTATCGGGCACTGAGCATTTTACATAGAGAAAAAGCCTTCAGGCTCACTCCTTGAGGCAGGTTCTGTTATGATCCCATGTCACAGTAAGAAACCGGGGCTTGTGGATGAGTAAGTTTCCCAGGACACAGTGTGTGATTGGTGGGGTTCAATGTGAGCCGAGGCGTCTCTTCACCCTCACGCTAGGCTGCCAGGGATTGGTAAAGTGGATGCTGGCTTAAGGGAGAAGGAGAGGACTCATTTGTTGAACACCTACTATGTGCCAGGGTTTGTACTAGACTTTCAGGGTTACCTTATTTTTATTTTTTGAGACAGGGTCTCATTCTGTCACCTAGGGCAGGAGTGTGCAGTGGTGTGATCACGACTTACTGCAGCCTTGACCTCCCAGGCTCAAGTGATTCTCCCACCTCAGCCTCCCGAGTGGCTGGGACTACAGGTGTGCGCCACCATGCCTGGCTAATTTTTGCATGTTTTGTAGAGACTGGGTCTTGTTATGTTGCACAGGCTGGTCTCAAACTCTTGGTCTTTGTTTTTCTTTTTCTTTTTGAGATGAAGTCTTGATCTTGTTGCCTGGGGTGGAGTGCAGTGACGCAATCTCGGCTCAATGCCACCTCCGCCTCCCGGGTTCAAGCGATTCTCCTGCCTCAGCCTCCCGAGCAGTTGGGACTACAGGCATGCACCACTACATCCAGCTAATTTTTGTATTTTTACTAGAGATGGGTTTCACCATATTGGCCAGGCTGGTCTCGAACTTCTACCTCGTGATCCACCCACCTCAGCCTCCCAACGTGCTGGGATTACAGGCACGAGCCGCCGTGCCAGGCATTACTTTTGTTTTCATAGGGAGGAAATTGACGTCCAGCAAGGTTAAGTCAAGACCCTGAGGTCAGACTCTCAGGAGTAGCGAGGCAAGGATATAAAATCCAGGCTCCAGACACGAGCGCACAACCATCACACAGCCCTGCCCTCATGGAGGAGGGCTGCGAAGGCTCTGGGTGAGGACTGGAGGGACAATGTTTCCAGTAGCCACTTTGACCTCCCATGCTCCTTGGCCCCTGACTGTCTCCCAGGCTCCTACAATAGGCCCCTGCTTTTTTTTAAATTTTTTTTGAGATGAAGTCTCACCCAGGCTGGAGTGTCACCCACCTCGGCTCACTGCATGCAACCTCCAACCTCCAACTCCTGGGTTCAAGCAATTCTGTCTCAGGCTCCCGAGTGGCTGGGACTACAGGTGCATGCCACTGTACCCGGCTAATTTTTGTATTTTTTTAGTAGAGATGGGGTTTCACCATGTTGGCCAGACCAGTCTTGAACTCCTGACCTCAGGTGATCCACCCACCTCGGTCTCCCAAAGTGCTGGGATTACAGGCATGAGTTTCTGTGCTTAGCTGGGCTTTTGTGCTTCTTTATGGATGAGGCCCCCAGGAGCCGGGTACTACAGCCAGCCCCACCCTCGCTGGGCTCTGAGCCTCCACAGCAGGCCTCCAGGTCACTGAGCTTCATGTGGCTATGGAGAAGTGACGCTTTCCCATCGGCTCGCACCAGATTCCCACTTAGCCTGGCAAAGGAAAATGGCTGTGAGGGAAGGTGCTAAAGATAGCTACCTTGCAACTTCCCCATCCTACTGGCCGCTGCCTCCTTCCCAGTGGACCCCTCCAGCAGCTCCCCGACTCCAGGCTGTCCTTGAGCCTGGTCAGCCAGCCTGGGGTATGAGTAGGGACCCAGGCGATGGTCACCACCATGGCTGCTGTTACTGAAGACTCATTGGCCCCAGGTACTGGGCCAGGCAGGACTGTGCCTGTTGCACATGAACCCCTCAACAGGAGGCAGGAAGAAGCATGATTGTCATCCCCACTTGATAGATGGGGGTCCAAGCACAGAGAAGGACCAGCTGCTGTGAAAGCCCCAGCCCATCCCCACGCCAGCGCCTGGAACACACCTCTACACACCACGCCACCTTCCCCCATGGCCCAGGGCCTATGGAAACACTGACGTGGCAACACTAGGGCCCATGACAACACCATGTCATCCCCCATCCATCTGTGACACCATCTCTACCTGCAGTGGGAGTATTTATACCAGGGACATAGGCAGACACTAGAGATCAGGGCATTCCTGCAGGGAGCTGGTTGTTAGCATTTACCAGCATAGCACTGGCCCCGACCTTCTGTTCCGCTGGTGACACCAAAGGCTGAACCTAGCTGGAAGTGGCAAGGGAGTTGGGTTGATATGGTCCCCAGAGGTCAGCATCCTGGGCATGGGGCAGTGGGTGGAAGGGCGGCTTGAGGATCTGGAGTGACAGACACAAAATCCAGCCCAATGCCCAGCGCTTCACTCTTCCTGGGAACCACTATTGCCAGCATTTCACAGGCACGTTTAATCAGAGGCAGGAGTTCCCACCTCAGCAGCTTCCCGGCTCCATATTGCACATTCATTTACAGCTGACCCGTGAACAATGCGGGGTGGGGGTGAGGTGGTGATGCCCCCATGCAGTCGAAAATCCAGGTATAACTTTTTGACTCCCCTAAAACTCAGCTACCAATAACTTTTTTTTGAGACCAAGTCCTGCTCTGTAGCCCAGGCTGGAGTGTAGTGGTGCAATCTGGCTCACTGCAACCTCCGCCTCCCGGGCTCAAAACATCCTCCTGCCTCAGCCTCCTGAGTAGCTGGGATTACAGGTGCCTGCCACCACACTAGGCTAATTTTTGTATTTTTTAGTGGAGACGGGGTTTTGCCATTTTGCCCAGGCTGGTCTCAAACCCCTGACCTCAAATGATCCGCCTGCCTCAGCCTCCCAAAGTGCTGTGATTACAGGTATGAGCCACCTCGCCCAGCCTTAACTATAAGTTACTGTTGACTGTGAAAACAGTTGATTAACAAGTATTTTGTGTTTTATATGTATTATATACTATAGTCTTTTACAATAAAGTAAGTTAGAGAAAAGAAAATGTTATTAAGATAATCTGGCTGGGCACAGTGGCTCACGCCTGTAATCTCAGCACGTTGGGAGGCTGAGGCAGGTGGACTGCTTGAGCGCAGGAATTGGAGATAAGCCTGGGTAACATAGACAGACCGTATCTCTACCCGCGCCCCCCCAAAAAAAAGCCAGGTGTGGTGGTGTGTATCTCTAGTTCCAGCTACTTGGTGTTTTTGATTTTTTTTTTTTTTTTTTTAAGATAGAGTTGCTCTGTTGCCCAGGCTAGAGTGCAGTGGCACAATCTCAGCTCACTGCAACCTTTGACTCCCAGGTTCAAGCAATTCTCCTGCCTTAGCCTCCTGAGTAGCTGAGAATACAGGTGCTTGCCACTATGCCTGGCTAATTTTTGTATTTCTAGTAGAGATGGGGTTTCACCATGTTGGCTAGGCTGGTCTTGAACTCCTGATCTCAAGTGATTCACCTGCCCAAGTTCCTGTGACCAGATACTTGGGAGGCTGAGGTAGAATCATTCGAGCCCCAGAGATTGAGGCTGTAGTGAGCTATGATTGCACCACTGCACTCCAGCCTGGGCAACAGGGTGAGACTCTGTCTCTAACAAGAAAAGGAGAAAAAATAAAACCTTAAGAAATAGAAAGTCTAGTTGATCTTCATTAAGTGGAAGTGACTCATCATAAAGGTTTTCATCCTCATCATCTTCACATTGAGTAGGTTGAGGAGGAAGAAAAGGAATGGGGGGGGGTCTTACAGTCTCAGGAGTGGCAGAGGCGAAAAAAATCTGCATAGAAGTGGGTCATTGGTGGATCACCTGAGGTCAGGAGTTTGAGACCAGCCTGACCAACATGGTGAAACCCCATTTCCACTTAAAAATACAAAATTAGCTGGGCATAGTGGCACATGCCTGTACTTCATCTACTCAGGAGGCTGAGGCAGAAGAATTGCTTGAACCCAGGAGGCAGAGGTTTCAGTGAGCCGAGATTATGCCATTGCACTGCACCCTGGGCGACAAGAGCAAGACTCCATCTCAAAAATAAAAATAAAAAAAAAAAAAACAACAGAAGTGGACTCTTGAAGTCCAAACCCATGTTATTCAAGCGCCAACTGTATATAATATATTTTTTTGAGATGGATTCCCGCTCTGACACCCAGGCTGGAGTGCAATGGCATGATCTCGGCTCACTGCAACCTCCGACTCCCAGGTTCAAGCAATTCTCTTGCCTCAGCCTCCTGAGTAGCTGAATTACAGGTGACTGCCAGAATACCCAGCTAATTTTTTTGTACTTTTAGTAGATGGGGTTTTACGACGTTGGCCAGGCTGGTCTCGAACTTCTGACCTCAGGTGATTTGCCCGCCTCAGCATCCCAAAGTACTAACATGACAGGCTTGAGCCACTGTGCCCAGGCTTGAGGGTCAGTTGTATTCATACATCACCATTACCAACCCTTATTAAGCACCAACTAAGCATCAGGCATTCAAGGCTCTTCACCAGGCGGCTGCAGCCTGCCAGCTCATCCCAGGCTGCTGTGCTCAGCCACGCGGGACCACCAGCGTCATCCTTCCTCCCGGGTGTGTCTTGGTATCCCTGTCCTGCATCCTGGTGTGGTTGCCTGGAAAGAATTGTCCGAGGTTGGCTCCTGGCTAGCCCTTTCCCAGTGTTGGGAACCTGTCTTGCGTGGGCACAGCGGCTCACCCTATAATCCAGCACTTTGGGAGGCGGGTGGTGGGGGGGATCACCTGATGTTAGGAGTTCGAGACCAGCCTGACCAACATGGAGAAACCCTATCTCTACTAAAAATACAAATTAGCTGGACATGCCTGTAATCCACGGTATTCGGGAGGCGGAGGCAGGAGAATTGCTTGAACCTGGAGGTGGAGGTTGCGGTGAGCCAAGATCTCACCATTGCCCTCCAGCCTGGGCAACGAGAGCAAAACTCCATCTCAAAAAAAAGAGAGAGAAAAAAAAGGCTGTCTTGAGGATTAAATGGGCGACTCTCGATGAGCCCAGCCCAGCTCCTAGTACCTGTTTTTTATTCAACGTGCACTCCTCCCACACCCTTTCAGGCTCTGACCCCAGCCCTCTGTTGGGAAATACTTGCTGAATGACTGGTTTTGCCTACGAGAAGGTCATAATACCTTCAAGGTCACTTCATGTCACAGATGGCAAAACCAGGGCTCTGAGAGGAAACCAGGTCCAGAGCACCACTTAGTCCCCCACTCCAAAGCCCACCACCTTCTCCACTAAGAGAGGCAGCAATTGGCAGCTCAAGGGCCAGCCACTCCGCAGTTATGTTTCGTTTGGTCCTCAGAGTTGCAAAAGAAAACTAAATGGAGCTGACCTTTACGAGTCAGGAGCTTTCACACAGAACTCGGATTTCCAGCTTCTTTGGGCAATGGGGTGATCTGGTGGCAGCAGAAGCTGCGGAGCTGCTGCCCAGCCGCCATCTCAGAGCTACCTCGCGGCCTGGCACCCAGCAGGGTCCAGCACACAGGAGGTGCTCAGCGAAGGACTGGGAGGTGAAAGAGACTGGGTCAGAGGGACAAATGAAGTGCCTACTGGCCGTTCCTAGGAAACCTATTTGGGTGAGCTTGTTTTACACGATACCTTGAATTCAGGAGTTGGTAGATTTTGACCATTTTTTGTTTTTGAGATGAAGTCTCACTCTGTTGCCCAGGACTGAGTACAGTGATGTGATCCTGGCTCACCACAGCCTTGGCCTTCTGGCACAAGCGATCCTCCTGCCACAGCCTCCTAAATAGCCAGGACTACAGACACATCCACCATGCCTGGCTACAGTTTTTTTTTTTTGAGATGAAGTTTCACTCTTGTTGCCCAGACTGGAGTGCAATGGCATGATCTCAGGTCACCACAACCTCGGCCTCCTGGGTCAAGCAATTCTCCTGCCTTAGCCTCCTGAGTAGCTGGGATTACAGGCATGTGCCACCACGCCCAGCTAATTTTTGTATTTTTAGTAGAGACGGGGTTTCACATGTTGGCCAGGATGATCTCAATCTCTTAACCTCGTGTTCCGCCCGCCTCACCTCTTAAAATTCTGGGATTACAGGCGTGAGCCACCGAGCTTGGCGCCTGGCTAATCTTTAAAAATTATTTTGTAGAGACAGAGCCTCACTATGTCGCCAAGGCTGGTTTTGAACCCCTGGGCTCAGCAATTCTCCAGCCTTGGCCTCCTAAAGTTTGGGATTATAGCCGTGCGCCACCACCCCTGGCCACCACACTTTGATCTTTAAAACCTGACCAATGGGCCAGGCGAGGTGGCTCATGCCTGTAATCACAGCACTTTAGGAGGCTGAGGTGGGCGGGTCACCTCAGGTCGGAGTTGAGACCAGCCTGACCAACATGGAGAAACCCCGTCTTTACTAAATACAAAATTAGCCAGTCACGGTGGTGATGCCTGTAGTTCCAGCTACTTGGGAGGCTGAGGC